GAGTTCAGGGGTGGTAAGAGTTCTGATTTTAAAGTCAGGGGCGCCCCATCAGTCCAAGGCTCCATCCTCGGAGTTCACGGGCGGCAAGAGAGTTCTGAGTTTAAAATCAGGAGCGCCCCATCAGTCCAAGGCTCCATCTTCGGACTATGTAAATGCATATATGCTACGTCTGTAAATATTTGTGTGCATGCATGCTTGCAATTGTATATGTGCATACTTTTATGTACATATGTATATGTGTAAGTATATGTATGTGCATTTGTGTACATGCTTGTGTGTATGTGTGCATGCCCTTGTAGACAAGGAGTACTAGGCAATACTTGGCATGATTAGTCAGGGCTTCATGGGTTTATGTACATGTATAGCACAAGCATTAGGCCATACTTAACATGTTTCCGACCATGATCCAACTTTAGCCTGTTCGCACCGAACACGCACATGCAATGACTTTCGCATTGTCTAAGCTTCCTAGTAAGGCTGCTGCCACAAGGATAACAACGAAATGCAGCTCTGCCAGCATCCCAAGTATGGCAGCAGGATCCTGTAAATAACAGATAGGACAACAAAGGCCAACAACCCTCAGCATGAACGCAGGACACTGTAAATAAGGATTCAATGATTCAATGTCTCTCCGGCTTGCAACCATTCTTACCACCCCGACCCTAGCACTGCCCATGACCAGCGGGCCCACGGGCTCAACGGGCCCACGGGCCCGCCACGGGCTCGCGGGCCCACGGGCCCGCCACGGGCCCACCAACGGGCCCACGGGCCCACGGGCCCACGAGCTCACGGGCCCACGGGCCCGTCCGCCGAAAAGACCATGCCCTACCGGGAAGACCCAGCATGTACCCTGCACAAAACTATCTGCAATGCAAGTGGCGGCTTGTCGCAGCCAAAAGTTGCAGATTCCCTTCCATGGCCTTAGAGAGAAGCCGACATGCATCTCTCTCCTCAAAGCTGCATCACAACCGCTATCAGTGGATCGGAGAATGCTCTTGAGTGCAACCGAAGTCCTGCCCGAGTGACAAGAGACAATCATGCTTCGGGCCCTCTCTGCTGCTTCAGCTGCGACTACAGGCTGGCTGTCCATGCGCACTGTAGGAGACCGGAAAGCAGAAAGAGCCCTCGCATGCAAAATCTCCCCCGCACTCGAGGAGGACCCGCTTCCTGTGGTGGCAAAGTAGGTGTAGTCTCCAGTATCATCCCCTTCGCCACAGATGATCGGCAGGCCGCTGGGGTCCTCAACCTCGAAAACATCTGTGATGAACGGAGGTGTAAAATCACTCAGAGCGACCTCAGCCTGTAGGTTGGCCACAATGACCGCTGCCCACCAGCGGCTCACGTAGCCATGTTCTTGAATCACCGACGTGTATGAACACTCGGGAGTGGTGATCGGCCCAGTAGCCTCTGTGAAGCAACCTACTGGCCCCCCTGAGGGGGCAGCCGGGCTCCTTGGTCGCCGGCCGACACTTCCTTGGCAGCATCTGGGTTCGCTGCTGTCCTTGGCTTCTCGTCTTCGCCGCTCGGCTTGGAGCCCGAGCGGCGTCGAGGGGTCCGCTCGGAACTCCTCCTCGTTCTCGTCTTCAGAGCGTTCACAAGTGCCTGCTCCTCCTGTAGACTCTTCTGAACTACCGCCTGGCGCTGAGCCTCCAGTGCCGCAGACTCCGCCACCTGAGCCTCTTGTGTGTCCATGTCGTCCTCTTCCCCACTCGAGCCCACCTCGACCGCTGTCTCCAGTCCATGTCCGGACTGCTTCTGGATCTCTCGGGAAGAGCTCTGCAGCTGTTGTAGCCATCGCTCCTCTGTCTCCGCAAGATTGGCCAAGGCCTTGCAAGTAGGTGGTCCACTCCGAGACAAACTGACCGCGAGCACGTTTGATCTCCGCCAATTCCTTCTTCGCCTGCGACTGCAGACTGACCAGTTTGTGCAACTGTCTCGTAGTCTGGCGGTGGTCCGTGGCCTCCTGTCCTTCCAGCAGCTCGCTGATCTCCGAGGGCAGCTCGTCCTTGGAAGCATTGAGGGCAGACATGAGGGCCGTCACGGAAGGAGGTAGCTTGATCGCCGGCTCCGCCGTAGGGGCCGTCGGGGCACTTGGTTTCGGCACCCCTGGGGGGGCCGGTACCTCGCTTAGCAGTGTCGCCAGGGTAGCACGTGGGGCCTCTGTTGCTGGCTCCTGCGTTGGCTGCCCTTTGCCCTCTGACTCCTTTCCGCGGCCTTTGCCCCGTTTGCGGGGCGAGCGGGCTCTTGGCCCCTTGGGACCATCCACCGGCTTGCCTCCTGTCGGTCGCGGCGATTTGCCACGTCCCTTCTCTGCTTGTCCATGGTGTCGGGGCCAGCGGTTGTGGTAGGGATTGCTCGGCTGTGAATATCCCGCATATGTCACAGCCTGCCAATGCGAGCCACATGCTTGGCAGAATGAAGCAGTGGCGCGACACATAACGCCAGGACGACGACGAACGGCCTGCGCGCGTAGTCGCTCGACCTGGTCCGGCAAGGTGCTCGACGAGTGGTGTCTGCGAAGCAGAGCACAGGCCTTGCTGACACCGTTCCCGAAACAACCAGCTCGTCGAAGGAGGACTCCTCGTAGGAGCGTCCGGGCTTCCGTTCGCTGCCGGCGCACTCGATGGTGCCACGGTTCTGAATGCAGCTTTCTCGTAGCTGCTCACGGAAACCACGCAAAAGCAGATGGCGAGCCCCAGCAGCCAGCTGCTTTGCATGTACCACCAAAGCTGAGCCCTATCCAAGGAACCGCAGCCAGATGTAGAATAATGAAAAGAGGAAATCCAGCCACCAAAGGTGGGGATCGCTGCCAGCAGACCTCCCAAATGGGTACAGTCCGAAAGGCCTCTGTGCGGGCAGTCTTCGCCGCCGCACGGGGTCAATGGCGATCGCAGTGAGGGACCACTAAGGGAAACTGCCTCACAGCTTGCAGCCAAGACGCCTGGGCTTAGGGCTTACAATTTAGGGTTTGGGGTACCCAAACCCTGAACCCCGGCCTCCTGCAAGTGTCTTGGCACTCCTGGTGCGTCCGGCTACGTGGCAACCAGTGCCAGCAGTGCTCCACCTGGCATTTTCAGGGAGTCGAACTTTGGCCAGGCTGTAGGGCCGTTTAGTCCGTTTAGTGTTTAGAGTTTAAAGTTTGTAGGGTTTAGGGAAGCTCCAGAGACCGACGACGACGGTTAAGGCGGCCCTCAGGTCCTTTTCCCACCAATTCCCACCTCTGGCTCACTTATCTCGTCACCCACCTTCGCGCTGCAGGCCGAAAGGTCGCATCGCAAAGCGAGGGTACTATCTTTGGACAGCGCAACGCATAGAGTCAGCTCACAGCTTGCTCTGATCGGTGCCACGGGTGCAAGGTCCGAGTCCGGGCGAGAATCACCCTTCGGGCCCTCCCGGCCCTCCGTGCCGCCCTCCGTGCAGTTTCCCAAGCAGTTTCCAAGCTCTTGGATCCCGTGCCTGACTCTGCTCATGGCCTCATAGGCCAGCCTCTTCTCAGCAACGGAGGCGGCCAGCTGTCCGTATGCCGAGGAACCCTCTGCCCAGCAGACATCTTGCGATGAACACGCGGGCACCAAGTGTGCATGGAGCTCCAGAAAGAGCTTCCGCAACAACTTCCGCGCGGTCCTTGTCCAGGCAGCGTTTCTTCTTCTTCTTCTTCTTCTTTTTCTTACCTTGTTTGCCCCTTCACTGTTGTCACCGTTGTCCACGTTCCAGCCATTGGCGTCCAATGTCCATAGCGAGGAATCGATGCAGCTGCGGAGCACCTTGGACTTCTGCGTCACATCTAGGATATCCACTGCTGCTGGAGCCTGCTCGAGATCCTGAAATAGCTGGCGGTTGCAAGCTGCAAGACCATCTCCGAGGTTTTGGAGCAAAGCCATGTCCTTGAGCAGGTCCCGCTGCAGATCTTCGAGGCTGCTGTCGACCTGCTGGACGAGACCTGGATAGGCCTGTCCCTGCCAAGCACTCCGATTGCTCCCATTCGACGCATTGACTATGTTGTCGGCCAGGGCCCGATATCCCAAGGCGCGCGTCAGGGAGGCCAGCCGGCTGGTCCGGCTGGCCAGGCTGTCCAAGCTGGCAGTCCTCTGGAGCAACGCCGCCTCCTCGCAGGAGCTGCAAGTCCCCAAGGCTTCATGGGGGACAAGGATCCAGACCTGGTTGCCCAAGTAAAAACATTCGCAACTGAGGAACACCGAGAACGAATGCTTCCCGAGCCGCTGTGTCGTGCCGTGCATTGCTTCACTCTTTAGTTTATGTCAACAGTGTCCCCTTGTTTTTCGCAAGATGGCCTGCAAAGCCAATACTAACATCTCCAGCGCAGCTCTCAGAAGCAAAGCGCCGCCGAGTCCACGGTAGGCACCCGTGACTCTGTGGCCATGGCCGGGTGTCGGGCTAAAAAAGACGTCGCGCTGCTTGTATCTTCATATTACACGAATTCTTAGATGCCGGATGAACCTTCTGGTGGCGAGTGAAGTTGGCCTTGGCAGGGGAAACTGAACTACCCTAAATAAACCCTTAGACCCTTAAACCATCTTGAATCCTTAAACCCTGAACCCTAAACCCCTAAACCCTACTCGGCCGCGTGTGACATTTGCATCTGTGCAGGCTGCACTGTGCAGGCTGCTTGGCGCAAGACCCATGGACGTGCAAAAAAAGTAGAGTTTGTGAGCCTGAATACGCGATGGTACTGTTCAGCTTTTGCGGCACTGTCCAGGAATGTAGCGTTTCAATTCTGGGCTGAAGATTCCAGCAGCAAGCCCCACATGTTGTAAAGTAAAGGTTGGGAGCCCTTAGGCTGCAAACCACCACAGGATTTGAAGGTGATTGAGCTTCCAAATACACACTGCAACTTGCAAGCGAAAACGTTTGGATGTGCCATGGCACTGCTTGAACCCGCCCACGACTGGGTCTCGCACCGTGGTGGCTGCCGTGGCGGTGCCCCGACCTGCCACTATCATAGCAAGCGCAAGTGCCCTAGAGGTGCCTAGCTCAAAGCCTAGATCATAAACTATCCGTACACCCTAACAGCCCTAACGTGCACCCTCATGCACCCTCATGTATTTGGAGAGTTTGGAGAGAGAGTTGCTGGCACCCACCCCGGAATGCCCCGGAAGCCCCCATTGCATCATTGCATCCTCTCAGGAGGCGGCTAGAGTTTGGACTCTGCGGGGCATGCCATCCTCAGGCTTCCCTCTGTGGAGTTCTTGATTTGTTGAAAGGGCTTTGGGTGTTGATGCTTTTTGTTGTGTTTTTTGTGCTGTTATTGGGGGAACGCCTGGGGATTCTCAGGTTTGGGGATCTAATGCACAGGGTTCCCCGGCATCCTTGCCCTCGTCACCAGCGTGCATTCCGGGGCTGACGCCGGCGAGTCAACACGCATAGCACACCAATCACTTGTTGGAGCACAAGGCAAATATATCTTGCAGTGACATCTTGAACAATCTTGAGGTACTGACTTTTGACTCATTGTCAACACAAATGAACACTCTTGGTGCCTGGCTCTCTGCCGAGGAAGCATGTACGCAAGTGGCCGGAGAAACCGATCCAGCAGTCCAAAGTATCAAAAAAGCATCAAGTAATGGCTGGCCAGCAATTTGGGGCAAATCGGGGACGCATGCAGCGTGTCAGGAGTCAGAAGATCTTGGTATGTTTCCAAGGGTTCTCACGTCACGAGGGGCTCGCGGCACATAGCGGAACAATGGGAAACATGACACTGCAAACCTGGTGGCTGGCAGCCCTCACCCAGCAAACTGCTTGGCCGCGCCTTGAGAGACGCGTCTTGCTTGGGCGTTGTCGCCTAGAGCACACCAGCAAAACTCCAGCAACGACGCTTGCGAAAAGCACGCCTAAACGATCGATGCTGACAGTTGCAACTTCCATGCCTACATATGCCTACTATCTTACTACTATCTTTCTTCTGTATATGTGTATACGCCTTGAGCCCTGCAAAGCCCGGCCACAGAGCAGAAGAATGCAAAGACATCCATCTGGCATCCGCGGCCAGAGAGGGCCCTTGCAAATCTCAGGCCTCTTCAGCATATATCAGAGTTTGCCTGAGCCCTGGCAGGCACAGCACACATCGCTGTTGCTAGAACAGGGATAGGAGGCCGCATAATGCACACCCAGCGGTCATTGACACGGAGCGGCGAAGCGTCTTTCTGAATCCACAAATTTGGCAACGACAACATGACGTGTACTCATTGCAATGCCTCGTTTAAGTATCAAATCTGATGGACTCCTGTCTGAAATGTTACGATGATACATACGAGAGCTTGGGTTACCTCGTTTCGACCTCGCTCTGGACATTACCTTGTCCGGAACTAGAAACTCCATTCCGCATGGCTTTCAAGCTACGCTTTGTGTTCCGGTGACCTCGTTTGTATCTCCGGCCTCTACCTCGTTTACTTGCTTGGCCCTTCTAAACCCAATGTCATGATTGATGCGCGAAAATATGCAAAAATCAGATTGTTGTCGGTGGCTCACATGGCCCCCTAGCCTCAAGATGGCTTCCCATGAGGACGAAGTACACGCAACCTGGCATGACATGAGCTTCTGCATCGGAGCAAAGGAGACCGGAGACCGAAAACTGTTGAAGTGAGGGCAGCTGCGCATCTGCTTCGGCGGCATGTTGTTAAAGCACAGGCGGCGTTTTTCAACTAAGTGGCAGTGGTCGAGCTGAGATCATCTCACAGGTACGCGGTATGCCTTATAGGCCTTGAGTCCCGATTTTCGTGAGATTTCGCGAGCACTAAGAATGGATAACCAATAACTATACAAAATACTGCCCAAAACCGGTGCATCTAAAATTTGCTCGCCAGATCGGCACGTGCTGCGACTGGCTCGCATGCACCGGGAAGGACACACTAGACGGGAGCACTACAGCTGCAACTGCCAGGCGTCGCCGAGGCGTACCGAGACGTGGGTGCCACCGAAGATTACCATGGCCTGCAGGACGGGAACGGAAGTCAAGAGCCAAGACAATGTCCACACCCAATTTGATCAATTTGCAACCCACAGTCAACTCACAACACGTCTCTTGATCACTAATCCCTGCGGCCTGCTGATGAGGCACCCAGACAGCTCCTGCAAGGCGGCGTTGCGAGGGCTTGGGGTCTGCAATTAGCATTTCCCAACCCGCTGCGGTCGTGTATTGCCAAAGGTCGTTTACAGGGGCGCCATTGCTTTGTCCTCCAAACACCACCATGGCGTTAAGGGAGTCAGCCCACACAGCTGACATGGCATACCTTGTCGGGGGTGAGCCGGCAGCATCGCTCGGGATCAGCTCCTCCCATGAATCGTCCGTTGGGCTAAAGGCCCATAGATCGTTCATGATGCCGGCACCCCGACCCCCGAAGATCAGCATCTTGGACAAGGTCCCGCCGGCCCAAACAGCCCCATGACCTTGCCGGGCTGCAGGGGCGGTGCCGGGGACCACCCCGTCCAACCATGATCCGCTCGCCAAGCCCCTCCAAGTGTACTTGGAAACGGAATTTGAGACGTCTCCATCGCTTGTGGTGCTGCTTCCACCAAACACCAGCATGGTCTTGGTGTCTGGCTTCCAGACTGCCGTGTGGAGCCACCTCTTAAGCCCAGAACTGGCAGGTGGAACTTCGCTCCAGGTGTCGGGGGAGCCCGGGATAAATTCATACAGGTGGTTGGAGATGTCCTCGGACGCTCCTTGACGGCCACCGAAAACTAGCACACTCTCACCGGTCCACACGGCCGTAGATCCCCATTTATCTCCCGGGCCGCCTGCCGTCACTGAGCTTGACGTCCACTGCACTGAGGATGTTGCCGCATCCAATGTGAGCGTCCACATGGCCGTATGGTAGGTAGGGTAGGTGTCCCGGCCACCATAGAGGAAGGCCTTCGGCTCCGAGTCGTGTGCCGCGAACGCGAAGGCATCGAGCGCGATTGGAGAAGTACTCCCATCTTGAACTTGAAGTTCCTTGAAAGACGCGGCAGTCTTGTCATGGTCGTCGCAGGGAAGGCCTGGCGCACGTGATCGCAGCATGTCGCAGCATGTGGCAGCATGTGGCACAGCATGTCGCAGCATTACACATGCTGCGATGCGTACAACTGAGCTTGGGGCAGGTGACCTGTTCGACGTTGCCGTGCCAATCTTTGCTCGTGTAGTACGTGTTGATCCACGACGGCGTGCATGGGTGCTCATCCACCAGCGTTGTGTCGCAGGTCTCCTGCGATGCCGGCGCCGGCTGCGTCACCGTCAGGGTTGTGGAGTCCGGCTGGTTGGTGTCGCAGTCGTTCAGCGCGGCCTCGGTCAGGGTATCCTGTTGCAAGATGTTGATATAGCACTTCACCTGCGAAGCTGACTTGAAGGCCACAAGCCTTCTGGCGATGGACTGCTGCACGATGGTCCACAGGGCGGTGAGGGAGTTCTGGGCGTCGGTGAAGCACTGGTTCAGAGCCGCACAGCTCACCATCAGCTGGCCGCGAAAGGTGCAGAAACGGCTTTCCAGAAAGTGCTGCCTCTCGTCGCACTCGGACTTCTGGGGCGCGTAAGCCGCCTCCGCATCCTTGTAGGCCGCATTTTTGTCCGTCACATCTTCGGAAAAATCGAACAGCCACTGCTGGACTGGGTTGGCGCAGTCCAGCGCCTCGTCGCCATCCAGCGGTTCAATGTAAGGGATCGGAGTCTCTGCCAACTTTCCGAGGCAGTCCACCAACGCTCCAGTCCTACTCGCCTGGAGATTTTGCATGCCCACCCGAAACGCAGCCAGTGCATCATCCCGAGCCTGTTTCTTGTTTGCCTCTTCATCCCGGCACGTGTCGTGGGCGTCCCCTGCCGCAATCACAGTGGGAGGGAGTGTGGTGACGGTGATCGGTGGGCGGTTGGCAAGGTCCGTGTTGCATTGCCCAAAAGCCTGCCCCGCCAGCTCAAGGTCATCCCTGTCGCTCTGCGCAGAGGCCCGGATATCCTCGATGAGAACGTTCATGTTTTCTTGGATTGCTTCGAGGAGTGGGACCACCGAGGATTGACTCATGTTGAAGGGGGAGGCGCTGCCGTTCAAACGACTCGCGGCCATGCTGCGGATGCTCGCTTTCATCTGCTCCAGGCCCTCTGGTGTGCCATGGCTGCCCAGCAGCCCCAGCAAGGAGGCATTTGCCGTGGAGCGAAGCTGCATGAAGGCTCCTTCCTCGCAAGTCCCGCCGTCGCATGCCAACCCTTTGACATTTGCAATCTTCAGGAGTGCCTCGGCTTGGCGCTGAGGAACAAGGGATCAGAGAACCATCTGGCAACCTCCCCTTTCAATCCTGCTGCCAAGCTTCAAGGAGCACCACAAGCTTGCGGGACGCCATGGAAACTGACCGGACGATGTCTACGTAGTTGCTTGCCAGTCTTGGTCACAAATCTGCGATGTGCCGAGACCAGGAGTCACTAGGAGTCACTGCGTCTTGCATGGACCGACATAACGCTCACATACATGGAGAAACACACAGAAGGTCAATGTCAACAGCCAGGATGGATGAACTAGACGACGGAGGTCCCAAAAGCGAGTTGAACATGTGCGGTTTCCTACCCCCCCCCCCCCCCCACACCTAAACCTCCTTCCTCGACCCCTGGAGGCCCTTGGAGGCCTCCTAAAACACCTGAAGGCCTCCGTGGACCCGTCCCCCAGCCAGGAACACTTGGGACACCATAAAAAATGAAATTTGTTCCACGCCCAGCCCAAGACAGCCGATGGAGCTTTTCCACAACCGGCCCACCCTAGACAGCCACATTCTCCTTCTCGTGCTACCCGCATGCTTCGCTAGCCACGCTCCTCCAACTGCAATTTCCGGCCTCAGCTCCTTCCTTCAGTCATCCGGCTTTCAGCTAGAACCCCTCTTTCCCCGTCCCGCCCCACGACTATCAGCGTAATGAACCTGCGCCCTCTTTCCCCCCTCATCCCACCCCCAGCCCGACTATCAGCGTAATGAACCTGCTTTGCGGACCACCTGCATGGCGACTGCATGCCGCTGCACCCCGCAAGGCCTCCGCGGACCAGCTGTGGACCCTTAGAACTCAATGAGAATCCCATAGCTAGAATTGTCTGGAAAACAACGCGCCGCATCTTTGCTTTCGCAATCAGAGGGCTTGCCTCCGCGCATCGATCTTTTTGCTCTTGCGTGAACTGAACAAAAACAAATAGAAACAACATAAACCGCGGACACGGCTGGCCCGAGCTGCAAAGGTTGCCGGCTAAAACTCCAGAAAGGATCAAAAAGTATCAAGTGGTGACTGGCCAGCAATTTGGGGCAAATCGGGGACGCATGCAGCGTGTCAGGAGTCAGAAGATCTTGGTATGTTTCCAAGGGTTCTCACGTCACGAGGGGCTCGCGGCACATAGCGGAACAATGGGAAACATGACACTGCAAACCTGGTGGCTGGCAGCCCTCACCCAGCAAACTGCTTGGCCGCGCCTTGAGAGACGCGTCTTGCTTGGGCGTTGTCGCCTAGAGCACACCAGCAAAACTCCAGCAACGACGCTTGCGAAAAGCACGCCTAAACGATCGATGCTGACAGTTGCAACTTCCATGCCTACATATGCCTACTATCTTACTACTATCTTTCTTCTGTATATGTGTATACGCCTAGAGCCCTGCAAAGCCCGGCCACAGAGCAGAAGAATGCAAAGACATCCATCTGGCATCCGCGGCCAGAGAGGGCCCTTGCAAATCTCAGGCCTCTTCAGCATATATCAGAGTTTGCCTGAGCCCTGGCAGGCACTGCACACATCGCTGTTGCTAGAACAGGGATAGGAGGCCGCATAATGCACACCCAGCGGTCATTGACACGCGTCTTTCTGAATCCACAAATTTGGCAACGACAACATGACGTGTACTCATTGCAATGCCTCGTTTAAGTATCAAATCTGATGGACTCCTGTCTGAAATGTTACGATGATACATACGAGAGCTTGGGTTACCTCGTTTCGACCTCGCTCTGGACATTACCTTGTCCGGAACTAGAAACTCCATTCCGCGTGGCTTTCAAGCTACGCTTTGTGTTCCGGTGACCTCGTTTGTATCTCCGGCCTCTACCTCGTTTACTTGCTTGGCCCTTTTAAACCCAATGTCATGATTGAAGTGCGAAAATATGCAAAAATCAGATTGTTGTCGGTGGCTCACATGGCCCCCTAGCCTCAAGTGGCTTCCCATGAGGACGAAGTACACGCAACCTGGCATGACATGAGCTTCTGCATCGGAGCAAAGGAGACCGGAGACCGAAAACTGTTGAAGTGAGGGCAGCTGCGCATCTGCTTCGGCGGCATGTTGTTAAAGCACAGGCGGCGTTTTTCAACTAAGTGGCAGTGGTCGAGCTGAGATCATCTCACAGGTACGCGGTATGCCTTATAGGCCTTGAGTCCCGATTTTCGTGAGATTTCGCGAGCACTAAGAATGGATAACCAATAACTATACAAAATACTGCCCAAAACCGGTGCATCTAAAATTTGCTCGCCAGATCGGCACGTGCTGCGACTGGCTCGCATGCACCGGGAAGGACACACCAGACGGGAGCACTACAGCTGCAACTGCCAGGCGTCGCCGAGGCGTACCGAGACGTGGGTGCCACCGAAGATTACCATGGCCTGCAGGACGGGAACGGAAGTCAAGAGCCAAGACAATGTCCACACCCAATTTGATCAATTTGCAACCCACAGTCAACTCACAACACGTCTCTTGATCACTAATCCCTGCGGCCTGCTGATGAGGCACCCAGACAGCTCCTGCAAGGCGGCGTTGCGAGGGCTTGGGGTCTGCAATTAGCATTTCCCAACCCGCTGCGGTCGTGTATTGCCAAAGGTCGTTTACAGGGGCGCCATTGCTTTGTCCTCCAAACACCACCATGGCGTTAAGGGAGTCAGCCCACACAGCTGACATGGCATACCTTGTCGGGGGTGAGCCGGCAGCATCGCTCGGGATCAGCTCCTCCCATGAATCGTCCGTTGGGCTAAAGGCCCATAGATCGTTCATGATGCCGGCACCCCGACCCCCGAAGATCAGCATCTTGGACAAGGTCCCGCCGGCCCAAACAGCCCCATGACCTTGCCGGGCTGCAGGGGCGGTGCCGGGGACCACCCCGTCCAACCATGATCCGCTCGCCAAGCCCCTCCAAGTGTACTTGGAAACGGAATTTGAGACGTCTCCATCGCTTGTGGTGCTGCTTCCACCAAACACCAGCATGGTCTTGGTGTCTGGCTTCCAGACTGCCGTGTGGAGCCACCTCTTAAGCCCAGAACTGGCAGGTGGAACTTCGCTCCAGGTGTCGGGGGAGCCCGGGATAAATTCATACAGGTGGTTGGAGATGTCCTCGGACGCTCCTTGACGGCCACCGAAAACTAGCACACTCTCACCGGTCCACACGGCCGTAGATCCCCATTTATCTCCCGGGCCGCCTGCCGTCACTGAGCTTGACGTCCACTGCACTGAGGATGTTGCCGCATCCAATGTGAGCGTCCACATGGCCGTATGGTAGGTAGGGTAGGTGTCCCGGCCACCATAGAGGAAGGCCTTCGGCTCCGAGTCGTGTGCCGCGAACGCGAAGGCATCGAGCGCGATTGGAGAAGTACTCCCATCTTGAACTTGAAGTTCCTTGAAAGATGCGGCAGTCTTGTCATGGTCGTCGCAGGGAAGGCCTGGCGCACGTGATCGCAGCATGTCGCAGCATGTGGCAGCATGTGGCACAGCATGTCGCAGCATTACACTTGCTGCGATGCGTACAACTGAGCTTGGGGCAGGTGACCTGTTCGACGTTGCCGTGCCAATCTTTGCTCGTGTAGTACGTGTTGATCCACGACTGCGTGCATGGGTGCTCATCCACCAGCGTTGTGTCGCAGGTCTCCTGCGATGCCGGCGCCGGCTGCGTCACCGTCAGGGTTGTGGAGTCCGGCTGGTTGGTGTCGCAGTCGTTCAGCGCGGCCTCGGTCAGGGTATCCTGTTGCAAGATGTTGATATAGCACTTCACCTGCGAAGCTGACTTGAAGGCCACAAGCCTTCTGGTGATGGACTGCTGCACGATGGTCCACAGGGCGGTGAGGGAGTTCTGGGCGTCGGTGAAGCACTGGTTCAGAGCCGCACAGCTCACCATCAGCTGGCCGCGAAAGGTGCAGAAACGGCTTTCCAGAAAGTGCTGCCTCTCGTCGCACTCGGACTTCTGGGGCGCGTAAGCCGCCTCCGCATCCTTGTAGGCCGCATTTTTGTCCGTCACATCTTCGGAAAAATCGAACAGCCACTGCTGGACTGGGTTGGCGCAGTCCAGCGCCTCGTCGCCATCCAGCGGTTCAATGTAAGGGATCGGAGTCTCTGCCAACTTTCCGAGGCAGTCCACCAACGCTCCAGTCCTACTCGCCTGGAGATTTTGCATGCCCACCCGAAACGCAGCCAGTGCATCATCCCGAGCCTGTTTCTTGTTTGCCTCTTCATCCCGGCACGTGTCGTGGGCGTCCCCTGCCGCAATCACAGTGGGAGGGAGTGTGGTGACGGTGATCGGTGGGCGGTTGGCAAGGTCCGTGTTGCATTGCCCAAAAGCCTGCCCCGCCAGCTCAAGGTCATCCCTGTCGCTCTGCGCAGAGGCCCGGATATCCTCGATGAGAACGTTCATGTTTTCTTGGATTGCTTCGAGGAGTGGGACCACCGAGGATTGACTCATGTTGAAGGGGGAGGCGCTGCCGTTCAAACGACTCGCGGCCATGCTGCGGATGCTCGCTTTCATCTGCTCCAGGCCCTCTGGTGTGCCATGGCTGCCCAGCAGCCCCAGCAAGGAGGCATTTGCCGTGGAGCGAAGCTGCATGAAGGCTCCTTCCTCGCAAGTCCCGCCGTCGCATGCCAACCCTTTGACATTTGCAATCTTCAGGAGTGCCTCGGCTTGGCGCTGAGGAACAAGGGATCAGAGAACCATCTGGCAACCTCCCCTTTCAATCCTGCTGCCAAGCTTCAAGGAGCACCACAAGCTTGCGGGACGCCATGGAAACTGACCGGACGATGTCTACGTAGTTGCTTGCCAGTCTTGGTCACAAATCTGCGATGTGCCGAGACCAGGAGTCACTAGGAGTCACTGCGTCTTGCATGGACCGACATAACGCTCACATACATGGAGAAACACACAGAAGGTCAATGTCAACAGCCAGGATGGATGAACTAGACGACGGAGGTCCCAAAAGCGAGTTGAACATGTGCGGTTTCCTACCCCCCCCCCCCCCCCACACCTAAACCTCCTTCCTCGACCCCTGGAGGCCCTTGGAGGCCTCCTAAAACACCTGAAGGCCTCCGTGGACCCGTCCCCCAGCCAGGAACACTTGGGACACCATAAAAAATGAAATTTGTTCCACGCCCAGCCCAAGACAGCCGATGGAGCTTTTCCACAACCGGCCCACCCTAGACAGCCACATTCTCCTTCTCGTGCTACCCGCATGCTTCGCTAGCCACGCTCCTCCAACTGCAATTTCCGGCCTCAGCTCCTTCCTTCAGTCATCCGGCTTTCAGCTAGAACCCCTCTTTCCCCGTCCCGCCCCACGACTATCAGCGTAATGAACCTGCGCCCTCTTTCCCCCCTCATCCCACCCCCAGCCCGACTATCAGCGTAATGAACCTGCTTTGCGGACCACCTGCATGGCGACTGCATGCCGCTGCACCCCGCAAGGCCTCCGCGGACCAGCTGTGGACCCTTAGAACTCAATGAGAATCCCATAGCTAGAATTGTCTGGAAAACAACGCGCCGCATCTTTGCTTTCGCAATCAGAGGGCTTGCCTCCGCGCATCGATCTTTTTGCTCTTGCGTGAACTGAACAAAAACAAATAGAAACAACATAAACCGCGGACACGGCTGGCCCGAGCTGCAAAGGTTGCCGGCTAAAACTCCAGAAAGGATCAAAAAGTATCAAGTGGTGACTGGCCAGCAATTTGGGGCAAATCGGGGACGCATGCAGCGTGTCAGGAGTCAGAAGATCTTGGTATGTTTCCAAGGGTTCTCACGTCACGAGGGGCTCGCGGCACATAGCGGAACAATGGGAAACATGACACTGCAAACCTGGTGGCTGGCAGCCCTCACCCAGCAAACTGCTTGGCCGCGCCTTGAGAGACGCGTCTTGCTTGGGCGTTGTCGCCTAGAGCACACCAGCAAAACTCCAGCAACGACGCTTGCGAAAAGCACGCCTAAACGATCGATGCTGACAGTTGCAACTTCCATGCCTACATATGCCTACTATCTTACTACTATCTTTCTTCTGTATATGTGTATACGCCTTGAGCCCTGCAAAGCCCGGCCACAGAGCAGAAGAATGCAAAGACATCCATCTGGCATCCGCGGCCAGAGAGGGCCCTTGCAAATCTCAGGCCTCTTCAGCATATATCAGAGTTTGCCTGAGCCCTGGCAGGCACTGCACACATCGCTGTTGCTAGAACAGGGATAGGAGGCCGCATAATGCACACCCAGCGGTCATTGACACGGAGCGGCGAAGCGTCTTTCTGAATCCACAAATTTGGCAACGACAACATGACGTGTACTCATTGCAATGCCTCGTTTAAGTATCAAATCTGATGGACTCCTGTCTGAAATGTTACGATGATACATACGAGAGCTTGGGTTACCTCGTTTCGACCTCGCTCTGGACATTACCTTGTCCGGAACTAGAAACTCCATTCCGCATGGCTTTCAAGCTACGCTTTGTGTTCCGGTGACCTCGTTTGTATCTCCGGCCTCTACCTCGTTTACTTGCTTGGCCCTTCTAAACCCAATGTCATGATTGATGCGCGAAAATATGCAAAAATCAGATTGTTGTCGGTGGCTCACATGGCCCCCTAGCCTCAAGATGGCTTCCCATGAGGACGAAGTACACGCAACCTGGCATGACATGAGCTTCTGCATCGGAGCAAAGGAGACCGGAGACCGAAAACTGTTGAAGTGAGGGCAGCTGCGCATCTGCTTCGGCGGCATGTTGTTAAAGCACAGGCGGCGTTTTTCAACTAAGTGGCAGTGGTCGAGCTGAGATCATCTCACAGGTACGCGGTATGCCTTATAGGCCTTGAGTCCCGATTTTCGTGAGATTTCGCGAGCACTAAGAATGGATAACCAATAACTATACAAAATACTGCCCAAAACCGGTGCATCTAAAATTTGCTCGCCAGATCGGCACGTGCTGCGACTGGCTCGCATGCACCGGGAAGGACACACCAGACGGGAGCACTACAGCTGCAACTGCCAGGCGTCGCCGAGGCGTACCGAGACGTGGGTGCCACCGAAGATTACCATGGCCTGCAGGACGGGAACGGAAGTCAAGAGCCAAGACAATGTCCACACCCAATTTGATCAATTTGCAACCCACAGTCAACTCACAACACGTCTCTTGATCACTAATCCCTGCGGCCTGCTGATGAGGCACCCAGACAGCTCCTGCAAGGCGGCGTTGCGAGGGCTTGGGGTCTGCAATTAGCATTTCCCAACCCGCTGCGGTCGTGTATTGCCAAAGGTCGTTTACAGGGGCGCCATTGCTTTGTCCTCCAAACACCACCATGGCGTTAAGGGAGTCAGCCCACACAGCTGACATGGCATACCTTGTCGGGGGTGAGCCGGCAGCATCGCTCGGGATCAGCTCCTCCCATGAATCGTCCGTTGGGCTAAAGGCCCATAGATCGTTCATGATGCCGGCACCCCGACCCCCGAAGATCAGCATCTTGGACAAGGTCCCGCCGGCCCAAACAGCCCCATGACCTTGCCGGGCTGCAGGGGCGGTGCCGGGGACCACCCCGTCCAACCATGATCCGCTCGCCAAGCCCCTCCAAGTGTACTTGGAAACGGAATTTGAGACGTCTCCATCGCTTGTGGTGCTGCTTCCACCAAACACCAGCATGGTCTTGGTGTCTGGCTTCCAGACTGCCGTGTGGAGCCACCTCTTAAGCCCAGAACTGGCAGGTGGAACTTCGCTCCAGGTGTCGGGGGAGCCCGGGATAAATTCATACAGGTGGTTGGAGATGTCCTCGGACGCTCCTTGACGGCCACCGAAAACTAGCACACTCTCACCGGTCCACACGGCCGTAGATCCCCATTTATCTCCCGGGCCGCCTGCCGTCACTGAGCTTGACGTCCACTGCACTGAGGATGTTGCCGCATCCAATGTGAGCGTCCACATGGCCGTATGGTAGGTAGGGTAGGTGTCCCGGCCACCATAGAGGAAGGCCTTCGGCTCCGAGTCGTGTGCCGCGAACGCGAAGGCATCGAGCGCGATTGGAGAAGTACTCCCATCTTGAACTTGAAGTTCCTTGAAAGATGCGGCAGTCTTGTCATGGTCGTCGCAGGGAAGGCCTGGCGCACGTGATCGCAGCATGTCGCAGCATGTGGCAGCATGTGGCACAGCATGTCGCAGCATTACACTTGCTGCGATGCGTACAACTGAGCTTGGGGCAGGTGACCTGTTCGACGTTGCCGTGCCAATCTTTGCTCGTGTAGTACGTGTTGATCCACGACTGCGTGCATGGGTGCTCATCCACCAGCGTTGTGTCGCAGGTCTCCTGCGATGCCGGCGCCGGCTGCGTCACCGTCAGGGTTGTGGAGTCCGGCTGGTTGGTGTCGCAGTCGTTCAGCGCGGCCTCGGTCAGGGTATCCTGTTGCAAGATGTTGATATAGCACTTCACCTGCGAAGCTGACTTGAAGGCCACAAGCCTTCTGGTGATGGACTGCTGCACGATGGTCCACAGGGCGGTGAGGGAGTTCTGGGCGTCGGTGAAGCACTGGTTCAGAGCCGCACAGCTCACCATCAGCTGGCCGCGAAAGGTGCAGAAACGGCTTTCCAGAAAGTGCTGCCTCTCGTCGCACTCGGACTTCTGGGGCGCGTAAGCCGCCTCCGCATCCTTGTAGGCCGCATTTTTGTCCGTCACATCTTCGGAAAAATCGAACAGCCACTGCTGGACTGGGTTGGCGCAGTCCAGCGCCTCGTCGCCATCCAGCGGTTCAATGTAAGGGATCGGAGTCTCTGCCAACTTTCCGAGGCAGTCCACCAACGCTCCAGTCCTACTCGCCTGGAGATTTTGCATGCCCACCCGAAACGCAGCCAGTGCATCATCCCGAGCCTGTTTCTTGTTTGCCTCTTCATCCCGGCACGTGTCGTGGGCGTCCCCTGCCGCAATCACAGTGGGAGGGAGTGTGGTGACGGTGATCGGTGGGCGGTTGGCAAGGTCCGTGTTGCATTGCCCAAAAGCCTGCCCCGCCAGCTCAAGGTCATCCCTGTCGCTCTGCGCAGAGGCCCGGATATCCTCGATGAGAACGTTCATGTTTTCTTGGATTGCTTCGAGGAGTGGGACCACCGAGGATTGACTGATGTTGAAGGGGGAGGCGCTGCCGTTCAAACGACTCGCGGCCATGCTGCGGATGCTCGCTTTCATCTGCTCCAGGCCCTCTGGTGTGCCATGGCTGCCCAGCAGCCCCAGCAAGGAGGCATTTGCCGTGGAGCGAAGCTGCATGAAGGCTCCTTCCTCGCAAGTCCCGCCGTCGCATGCCAACCCTTTGACATTTGCAATCTTCAGGAGTGCCTCGGCTTGGCGCTGAGGAACAAGGGATCAGAGAACCATCTGGCAACCTCCCCTTTCAATCCTGCTGCCAAGCTTCAAGGAGCACCACAAGCTTGCGGGACGCCATGGAAACTGACCGGACGCTGTCTACGTAGTTGCTTGCCAGTCTTGGTCACAAATCTGCGATGTGCCGAGACCAGGAGTCACTAGGAGTCACTGCGTCTTGCATGGACCGACATAACGCTCACATACATGGAGAAACACACAGAAGGTCAATGTCAACAGCCAGGATGGATGAACTAGACGACGGAGGTCCCAAAAGCGAGTTGAACATGTGCGGTTTCCTCCCCCCCCCCCCCCCCCACACCTAAACCTCCTTCCTCGACCCCTGGAGGCCCTTGGAGGCCTCCTAAAACACCTGAAGGCCTCCGTGGACCCGTCCCCCAGCCAGGAACACTTGGGACACCATAAAAAATGAAATTTGTTCCACGCCCAGCCCAAGACAGCCGATGGAGCTTTTCCACAACCGGCCCACCCTAGACAGCCACATTCTCCTTCTCGTGCTACCCGCATGCTTCGCTAGCCACGCTCCTCCAACTGCAATTTCCGGCCTCAGCTCCTTCCTTCAGTCATCCGGCTTTCAGCTAGAACCCCTCTTTCCCCGTCCCGCCCCACGACTATCAGCGTAATGAACCTGCGCCCTCTTTCCCCCCTCATCCCACCCCCAGCCCGACTATCAGCGTAATGAACCTGCTTTGCGGACCACCTGCATGGCGACTGCATGCCGCTGCACCCCGCAAGGCCTCCGCGGACCAGCTGTGGACCCTTAGAACTCAATGAGAATCCCATAGCTAGAATTGTCTGGAAAACAACGCGCCGCATCTTTGCTTTCGCAATCAGAGGGCTTGCCTCCGCGCATCGATCTTTTTGCTCTTGCGTGAACTGAACAAAAACAAATAGAAACAACATAAACCGCGGACACGGCTGGCCCGAGCTGCAAAGGTTGCCGGCTAAAACTCCAGAAAGGATCAAAAAGTATCAAGTGGTGACTGGCCAGCAATTTGGGGCAAATCGGGGACGCATGCAGCGTGTCAGGAGTCAGAAGATCTTGGTATGTTTCCAAGGGTTCTCACGTCACGAGGGGCTCGCGGCACATAGCGGAACAATGGGAAACATGACACTGCAAACCTGGTGGCTGGCAGCCCTCACCCAGCAAACTGCTTGGCCGCGCCTTGAGAGACGCGTCTTGCTTGGGCGTTGTCGCCTAGAGCACACCAGCAAAACTCCAGCAACGACGCTTGCGAAAAGCACGCCTAAACGATCGATGCTGACAGTTGCAACTTCCATGCCTACATATGCCTACTATCTTACTACTATCTTTCTTCTGTATATGTGTATACGCCTTGAGCCCTGCAAAGCCCGGCCACAGAGCAGAAGAATGCAAAGACATCCATCTGGCATCCGCGGCCAGAGAGGGCCCTTGCAAATCTCAGGCCTCTTCAGCATATATCAGAGTTTGCCTGAGCCCTGGCAGGCACTGCACACATCGCTGTTGCTAGAACAGGGATAGGAGGCCGCATAATGCACACCCAGCGGTCATTGACACGCGTCTTTCTGAATCCACAAATTTGGCAACGACAACATGACGTGTACTCATTGCAATGCCTCGTTTAAGTATCAAATCTGATGGACTCCTGTCTGAAATGTTACGATGATACATACGAGAGCTTGGGTTACCTCGTTTCGACCTCGCTCTGGACATTACCTTGTCCGGAACTAGAAACTCCATTCCGCGTGGCTTTCAAGCTACGCTTTGTGTTCCGGTGACCTCGTTTGTATCTCCGGCCTCTACCTCGTTTACTTGCTTGGCCCTTTTAAACCCAATGTCATGATTGAAGTGCGAAAATATGCAAAAATCAGATTGTTGTCGGTGGCTCACATGGCCCCCTAGCCTCAAGTGGCTTCCCATGAGGACGAAGTACACGCAACCTGGCATGACATGAGCTTCTGCATCGGAGCAAAGGAGACCGGAGACCGAAAACTGTTGAAGTGAGGGCAGCTGCGCATCTGCTTCGGCGGCATGTTGTTAAAGCACAGGCGGCGTTTTTCAACTAAGTGGCAGTGGTCGAGCTGAGATCATCTCACAGGTACGCGGTATGCCTTATAGGCCTTGAGTCCCGATTTTCGTGAGATTTCGCGAGCACTAAGAATGGATAACCAATAACTATACAAAATACTGCCCAAAACCGGTGCATCTAAAATTTGCTCGCCAGATCGGCACGTGCTGCGACTGGCTCGCATGCACCGGGAAGGACACACCAGACGGGAGCACTACAGCTGCAACTGCCAGGCGTCGCCGAGGCGTACCGAGACGTGGGTGCCACCGAAGATTACCATGGCCTGCAGGACGGGAACGGAAGTCAAGAGCCAAGACAATGTCCACACCCAATTTGATCAATTTGCAACCCACAGTCAACTCACAACACGTCTCTTGATCACTAATCCCTGCGGCCTGCTGATGAGGCACCCAGACAGCTCCTGCAAGGCGGCGTTGCGAGGGCTTGGGGTCTGCAATTAGCATTTCCCAACCCGCTGCGGTCGTGTATTGCCAAAGGTCGTTTACAGGGGCGCCATTGCTTTGTCCTCCAAACACCACCATGGCGTTAAGGGAGTCAGCCCACACAGCTGACATGGCATACCTTGTCGGGGGTGAGCCGGCAGCATCGCTCGGGATCAGCTCCTCCCATGAATCGTCCGTTGGGCTAAAGGCCCATAGATCGTTCATGATGCCGGCGCCCCGACCCCCGAAGATCAGCATCTTGGACAAGGTCCCGCCGGCCCAAACAGCCCCATGACCTTGCCGGGCTGCAGGGGCGGTGCCGGGGACCACCCCGTCCAACCATGATCCGCTCGCCAAGCCCCTCCAAGTGTACTTGGAAACGGAATTTGAGACGTCTCCATCGCTTGTGGTGCTGCTTCCACCAAACACCAGCATGGTCTTGGTGTCTGGCTTCCAGACTGCCGTGTGGAGCCACCTCTTAAGCCCAGAACTGGCAGGTGGAACTTCGCTCCAGGTGTCGGGGGAGCCCGGGATAAATTCATACAGGTGGTTGGAGATGTCCTCGGACGCTCCTTGACGGCCACCGAAAACTAGCACACTCTCACCGGTCCACACGGCCGTAGATCCCCATTTATCTCCCGGGCCGCCTGCCGTCACTGAGCTTGACGTCCACTGCACTGAGGATGTTGCCGCATCCAATGTGAGCGTCCACATGGCCGTATGGTAGGTAGGGTAGGTGTCCCGGCCACCATAGAGGAAGGCCTTCGGCTCCGAGTCGTGTGCCGCGAACGCGAAGGCATCGAGCGCGATTGGAGAAGTACTCCCATCTTGAACTTGAAGTTCCTTGAAAGATGCGGCAGTCTTGTCATGGTCGTCGCAGGGAAGGCCTGGCGCACGTGATCGCAGCATGTCGCAGCATGTGGCAGCATGTGGCACAGCATGTCGCAGCATTACACTTGCTGCGATGCGTACAACTGAGCTTGGGGCAGGTGACCTGTTCGACGTTGCCGTGCCAATCTTTGCTCGTGTAGTACGTGTTGATCCACGACTGCGTGCATGGGTGCTCATCCACCAGCGTTGTGTCGCAGGTCTCCTGCGATGCCGGCGCCGGCTGCGTCACCGTCAGGGTTGTGGAGTCCGGCTGGTTGGTGTCGCAGTCGTTCAGCGCGGCCTCGGTCAGGGTATCCTGTTGCAAGATGTTGATATAGCACTTCACCTGCGAAGCTGACTTGAAGGCCACAAGCCTTCTGGTGATGGACTGCTGCACGATGGTCCACAGGGCGGTGAGGGAGTTCTGGGCGTCGGTGAAGCACTGGTTCAGAGCCGCACAGCTCACCATCAGCTGGCCGCGAAAGGTGCAGAAACGGCTTTCCAGAAAGTGCTGCCTCTCGTCGCACTCGGACTTCTGGGGCGCGTAAGCCGCCTCCGCATCCTTGTAGGCCGCATTTTTGTCCGTCACATCTTCGGAAAAATCGAACAGCCACTGCTGGACTGGGTTGGCGCAGTCCAGCGCCTCGTCGCCATCCAGCGGTTCAATGTAAGGGATCGGAGTCTCTGCCAACTTTCCGAGGCAGTCCACCAACGCTCCAGTCCTACTCGCCTGGAGATTTTGCATGCCCACCCGAAACGCAGCCAGTGCATCATCCCGAGCCTGTTTCTTGTTTGCCTCTTCATCCCGGCACGTGTCGTGGGCGTCCCCTGCCGCAATCACAGTGGGAGGGAGTGTGGTGACGGTGATCGGTGGGCGGTTGGCAAGGTCCGTGTTGCATTGCCCAAAAGCCTGCCCCGCCAGCTCAAGGTCATCCCTGTCGCTCTGCGCAGAGGCCCGGATATCCTCGATGAGAACGTTCATGTTTTCTTGGATTGCTTCGAGGAGTGGGACCACCGAGGATTGACTCATGTTGAAGGGGGAGGCGCTGCCGTTCAAACGACTCGCGGCCATGCTGCGGATGCTCGCTTTCATCTGCTCCAGGCCCTCTGGTGTGCCATGGCTGCCCAGCAGCCCCAGCAAGGAGGCATTTGCCGTGGAGCGAAGCTGCATGAAGGCTCCTTCCTCGCAAGTCCCGCCGTCGCATGCCAACCCTTTGACATTTGCAATCTTCAGGAGTGCCTCGGCTTGGCGCTGAGGAACAAGGGATCAGAGAACCATCTGGCAACCTCCCCTTTCAATCCTGCTGCCAAGCTTCAAGGAGCACCACAAGCTTGCGGGACGCCATGGAAACTGACCGGACGATGTCTACGTAGTTGCTTGCCAGTCTTGGTCACAAATCTGCGATGTGCCGAGACCAGGAGTCACTAGGAGTCACTGCGTCTTGCATGGACCGACATAACGCTCACATACATGGAGAAACACACAGAAGGTCAATGTCAACAGCCAGGATGGATGAACTAGACGACGGAGGTCCCAAAAGCGAGTTGAACATGTGCGGTTTCCTACCCCCCCCCCCCCCCCACACCTAAACCTCCTTCCTCGACCCCTGGAGGCCCTTGGAGGCCTCCTAAAACACCTGAAGGCCTCCGTGGACCCGTCCCCCAGCCAGGAACACTTGGGACACCATAAAAAATGAAATTTGTTCCACGCCCAGCCCAAGACAGCCGATGGAGCTTTTCCACAACCGGCCCACCCTAGACAGCCACATTCTCCTTCTCGTGCTACCCGCATGCTTCGCTAGCCACGCTCCTCCAACTGCAATTTCCGGCCTCAGCTCCTTCCTTCAGTCATCCGGCTTTCAGCTAGAACCCCTCTTTCCCCGTCCCGCCCCACGACTATCAGCGTAATGAACCTGCGCCCTCTTTCCCCCCTCATCCCACCCCCAGCCCGACTATCAGCGTAATGAACCTGCTTTGCGGACCACCTGCATGGCGACTGCATGCCGCTGCACCCCGCAAGGCCTCCGCGGACCAGCTGTGGACCCTTAGAACTCAATGAGAATCCCATAGCTAGAATTGTCTGGAAAACAACGCGCCGCATCTTTGCTTTCGCAATCAGAGGGCTTGCCTCCGCGCATCGATCTTTTTGCTCTTGTGTGAACTGAACAAAAACAAATAGAAACAACATAAACCGCGGACACGGCTGGCCCGAGCTGCAAAGGTTGCCGGCTAAAACTCCAGAAAGGATCAAAAAGTATCAAGTGGTGACTGGCCAGCAATTTGGGGCAAATCGGGGACGCATGCAGCGTGTCAGGAGTCAGAAGATCTTGGTATGTTTCCAAGGGTTCTCACGTCACGAGGGGCTCGCGGCACATAGCGGAACAATGGGAAACATGACACTGCAAACCTGGTGGCTGGCAGCCCTCACCCAGCAAACTGCTTGGCCGCGCCTTGAGAGACGCGTCTTGCTTGGGCGTTGTCGCCTAGAGCACACCAGCAAAACTCCAGCAACGACGCTTGCGAAAAGCACGCCTAAACGATCGATGCTGACAGTTGCAACTTCCATGCCTACATATGCCTACTATCTTACTACTATCTTTCTTCTGTATATGTGTATACGCCTTGAGCCCTGCAAAGCCCGGCCACAGAGCAGAAGAATGCAAAGACATCCATCTGGCATCCGCGGCCTGAGAGGGCCCTTGCAAATCTCAGGCCTCTTCAGCATATATCAGAGTTTGCCTGAGCCTTGGCAGGCACTGCACACATCGCTGTTGCTAGAACAGGGATAGGAGGCCGCATAATGCACACCCAGCGGTCATTGACACGCGTCTTTCTGAATCCACAAATTTGGCAACGACAACATGACGTGTACTCATTGCAATGCCTCGTTTAAGTATCAAATCTGATGGACTCCTGTCTGAAATGTTACGATGATACATACGAGAGCTTGGGTTACCTCGTTTCGACCTCGCTCTGGACATTACCTTGTCCGGAACTAGAAACTCCATTCCGCGTGGCTTTCAAGCTACGCTTTGTGTTCCGGTGACCTCGTTTGTATCTCCGGCCTCTACCTCGTTTACTTGCTTGGCCCTTCTAAACCCAATGTCATGATTGAAGTGCGAAAATATGCAAAAATCAGATTGTTGTCGGTGGCTCACATGGCCCCCTAGCCTCAAGATGGCTTCCCATGAGGACGAAGTACACGCAACCTGGCATGACATGAGCTTCTGCATCGGAGCAAAGGAGACCGGAGACCGAAAACTGTTGAAGTGAGGGCAGCTGCGCATCTGCTTCGGCGGCATGTTGTTAAAGCACAGGGGGCGTTTTTCAACTAAGTGGCAGCGGTCGAGCTGAGATCATCTCACAGGTACGCGGTATGCCTTATAGGCCTTGAGTCCCGATTTTCGTGAGATTTCGCGAGCACTAAGAATGGATAACCAATAACTATACAAAATACTGCCCAAAACCGGTGCATCTAAAATTTGCTCGCCAGATCGGCACGTGCTGCGACTGGCTCGCATGCACCGGGAAGGACACACCAGATGGGAGCACTACAGCTGCAACTGCCAGGCGTCGCCGAGGCGTACCGAGACGCGGGTGCCACCGAAGATTACCATGGCCTGCAGGACGGGAACGGAAGTCAAGAGCCAAGACAATGTCCACACCCAATTTGATCAACTTGCAACCCACAGTCAACTCACAACACGTCTCTTGATCACTAATCCCTGCGGCCTGCTGATGAGGCACCCAGACAGCTCCTGCAAGGCGGCGTCCCGAGGGCTTGGGGTCTGCAATTAGCATTTCCCAACCCGCTGCGGTCGTGTATTGCCAAAGGTCGTTTACAGGGTCGCCATTGCTTTGTCCTCCAAACACCACCATGGCGTTAAGGGAGTCAGCCCACACAGCTGACATGGCATACCTTGTCGGGGGTGAGCCGGCAGCATCGCTCGGGATCAGCTCCTCCCATGAATCGTCCGTTGGGCTAAAGGCCCATAGATCGTTCATGATGCCGGCGCCCCGACCCCCGAAGATCAGCATCTTGGACAAGGTCCCGCCGGCCCAAACAGCCCCATGACCTTGCCGGGCTGCAGGGGCGGTGCCGGGGACCACCCCGTCCAACCATGATCCGCTCGCCAAGCCCCTCCAAGTGTACTTGGAAACGGAATTTGAGACGTCTCCATCGCTTGTGGTGCTGCTTCCACCAAACACCAGCATGGTCTTGGTGTCTGGCTTCCAGACTGCCGTGTGGAGCCACCTCTTAAGCCCAGAACTGGCAGGTCGAACTTCGCTCCAGGTGTCGGGGGAGCCCGGGATAAATTCATACAGGAAGTTAAAGATGAAGTTGGGGAAAAGGCTACCTCCCGACCGCCCACCGAATACAAGCACACTCTCGCCGGTCCACACGGCCGTAGATCCCCATGTAGGTCCCGGGCCGCCGCCTGCTGAGCTTAACGTCCACTGCACGGAGGATGTTGCAGCATCCAATGTAACCGTCCACATGTCCCTATGGTAGGTAGGGTATCTGTCCCGGCCACCAAAGAGGAAGGCCTTCGGCTCCGAGTCGTGTGCCGCGAATGCGAAGGTATCGCGCGCGATTGGAGAAGTACTCCCATCTCGAAGTTGCTTGAAAGACGCGGCAGTCTTGTCATGGTCGTCGCAGGGAAGGCCTGGCGCACGTGATCGCAGCATGTCGCAGCATGTGGCAGCATGTGGCACAGCATGTCGCAGCATTACACTTGCTGCGATGCGTACAACTGAGCTTGGGGCAGGTGACCTGTTCGACGTTGCCGTGCCAATCTTTGCTCGTGTAGTACGTGTTGATCCACGACGGCGTGCATGGGTGCTCATCCACCAGCGTTGTGTCGCAGGTCTCCTGCGATGCCGGCGCCGGCTGCGTCACCGTCAGGGTTGTGGAGTCCGGCTGGTTGGTGTCGCAGTCGTTCAGCGCGGCCTCGGTCAGGGTATCCTGTTGCAAGATGTTGATATAGCACTTCACCTGCGAAGCTGACTTGAAGGCCACAAGCCTTCTGGTGATGGACTGCTGCACGATGGTCCACAAGGCGGTGAGGGAGTTCTGGGCGTCGGTGAAGCATTGGTTCAGAGCCGCACAGCTCACCATCAGCTGGCCGCGAAAGGTGCAGAAACGGCTTTCCAGAAAGTGCTGCCTCTCGTCGCACTCGGACTTCTGGGGCGCGTAAGCCGCCTCCGCATCCTTGTAGGCCGCATTTTTGTCCGTCACATCTTCGGAAAAATCGAACAGCCACTGCTGGACTGGGTTGGCGCAGTCCAGCGCCTCGTCGCCATCCAGCGGTTCAATGTAAGGGATCGGAGTCTCTGCCAACTTTCCGAGGCAGTCCACCAACGCTCCAGTCCTACTCGCCTGGAGATTTTGCATGCCCACCCGAAACGCAGCCAGTGCATCATCCCGAGCCTGTTTCTTGTTTGCCTCTTCATCCCGGCACGTGTCGTGGGCGTCCCCTGCCGCAATCACAGTGGGAGGGAGTGTGGTGACGGTGATCGGTGGGCGGTTGGCAAGGTCCGTGTTGCATTGCCCAAAAGCCTGCCCCGCCAGCTCAAGGTCATCCCTGTCGCTCTGCGCAGAGGCCCGGATATCCTCGATGAGAACGTTCATGTTTTCTTGGATTGCTTCGAGGAGTGGGGCCACCGAGGATTGACTCATGTTGAAGGGGGAGGCGCTGTCGTTCAAACGACTCGCGGCCATGCTGCGGATGCTCGCTTTCATCTGCTCCAGGCCCTCTGGTGTGCCATGGCTGCCCAGCAGCCCCAGCAAGGAGGCATTTGCCGTGGAGCGAAGCTGCATGAAGGCTCCTTCCTCGCAAGTCCCGCCGTCGCATGCCAACCCTTTGACATTTGCAATCTTCAGGAGTGCCTCGGCTTGGCGCTGAGGAACAAGGGATCAGAGAACCATCTGGCAACCTCCCCTTTCAATCCTGCTGCCAAGCTTCAAGGAGCACCACAAGCTTGCGGGACGCCATGGAAACTGACCGGACGCTGTCTAAGTAGTTGCTTGCCAGTCTTGGTCACAAATCTGCGATGCGCCGAGACCAGGAGTCACTAGGAGTCACTGCGTCTTGCATGGACCGACATAAGGCTCACATACATGCATTGAGGCTCACATACATGCATGGAGAAACACACAGCGCTCGTGGCACCCATCCTCGGAAGGCTACCGTGCCGCGTGCAAGCTTGCATGCAACTTCAACTCAGACATCGGGACTTTCCGGACATCCGCCCCGAAGCTGGCATCGCATCTAATCTCCAACAATCTCTAACATCTAACATGTACTACAACAGAATAAAGCTCAAGGCTTCAGGCAACATGCTGTCACAAGCCGCAAGATGTCGAAGGACAAGCTATGGGTATTTATAGGAATGCGCAACATGGCGGAGTACTATGCCGCAGTACCATTCGACAGAGCACAATGCACCCAAAAGTCCCGTAAACTGCAAAAGAGCGGCAGAGCATCTTTGCACAACGCACCAAGGGTGCGAGCCTGGTAGCTTTGCCTCGATGGCAGCCATGATCTTCAGCTCGGCCCCAGCACGGCCCCATGGAGGACCAAAGATGGCCAGGCCTTCAACAACACTGTCTTTGAGTGTCGGGGGCAGGAAAAGGAAAGCAGCGGGTGCACCGATAGAGGAAATCCATCTTGCACCGTGACTGCCGCCACAGTGGCTGTTTGCGCTCCAGGAAGCCATTCGGTGGAGACATGTCGAGACGATCGAGCAGGTGCGGATCTGACCTCACCAGGAACAGTCACAAGTCACAAGTGTCCCATTGGCCGCAGGTCAACGCGTGAAAGCATCGGTGAGGTGTCTGCTGCAGCGACTTTGCGGGCCAATTATTATGGCTAGGCCTGCTACGGTTCAAGGTTTCAGGGAGTCACGGTCGGGTGATGGTTCTGAGGGCTCACGCCATAAAGTCTCAAACCCCGATTCGCGAGAGGTAGGGGATAGGGGGCTAACCCACTGTATCAAGGAAACTAGCCAGAAAAAGTTCGCGAGCGCTACCGCTAGGGGCCTAGCACTCAAAGAATAAAAGTTGGAAGAAATTCGCGAGCGCTGCCGCGGGGGGTTACCTTCTGGACGGGACTCCGTCGCGCAAAACACCAGAGACGGTAGGTGACGGAGGTGAGGGAGATGGGTCTCTCGATGGTCGGTTTCTTCGGCAACATGCAGACCTGATGCTGTTGCCAATGGATGGGCACAGTTTGGCAGGCTTCACTTTCGTTGAAAACGGTGGCCAGCTCTTCATAAGCTTTGCTGGGTAGGCCTCTCAGGCTCGCGTACGTAAGCCCGTCTAGCCCCCCAGCCTTATCAGCGACACCATTGGCAATCTGACAGAGGTCAAGTCCTTCAATGGGCGGGAGTGGTTGCTGTCTAGCCTTATCCTCAAGAATTTTCCCCGGTCTGTACCCGGGTTCAGCTTCGCCCCAAAGCTCAACCCACTGTGCTCTGCGCAATTTGGCTCGTTCCTCCACAGGTTTATCGCTGAAAGGCCTGGTATACACGGTCTCAGCTTTCGACAAACTGCGGAACAGCCGTCGCATTCCTTTGGCCATACCTGCATGGAGCCAGGCTTTATACTGCTTGAGATGCGCACGACTTGCCTCAACTTGGGCTTCTGCTTCCTTAGCTTCAGCTGTCTGCCTGAGCGGGCCGAGCAGGCTAGCTTGGCGCTGCGCAAAGGTCTCACACACCTCGGCAATGAAAGAGGCTTCCTCCTTCTCGAGAAAACCTTCAACTTTCTTTGCATCGCCTTGCACCTGCTCCCAAACCCCCGTGCTGACTTGGGCTTGCAGCTTGATGATGCACCTGCGCATGCGACCCCACCAGCCCGCTGCTGTGGTCGGGCTGGCCTGAACACAACGGGTCTCTGACAAGGTTCCCCACACCTTTTCTACACAGTAGCCTCGGCCCTGCAGGTCACCACGACATTCCTCCAAGGCCTTAGCCCACCTGGCCAAAGCACACGAGACTTTGTGCTCCCCTATTTGTCCCATGATGCTGGGTACGACTGGGCCGACCAGCGGCCAAAATTGGTCACTGACATCTCCTGTCAACTTGGCGAAATGCTGCAAGCGCCATTGGGGTTGCACAACTCCTGCCCCTGCAATAGTCAACCGCAGTGCTGCATGCGGTTTCCATGGAACCTGCCAATCCGCTGTCAAGGTGACCGCTGACTCAATGCTTCGGCTGACCAGGACAAAATCCAATTCGTTACCTGATCCTTGTGTGCATGTGATCTCCCCGGTGGCAATTAAACGACCTCGCAATACTTGGCACAGGTTGCTTTCCATAAAGGTGTGCGGTGTACAATTCCAATCCCCTCCAATCACCCAGGGCTCGGGCAGCTCGCGCACATATGACACCAGCTGCGCCAGGATTTGCGTGTTCCTGGGGCCGGTTGGGCCTTCAGTGTCTTTGAGGTAGATGCACACTAAAGTGAAAACGAGTCCTTGGGCTTGGATTCCGATGGCTTCGAATCCAGCTCCTTCTCGAAGGAACGTATGCTTGGTCCAAGTATCCCTGTGCTTCCTAACAACCCAAGCCACCCCACCTATCCTAGAACCCGTGTCACTGAGGTGCGCTGCCTGTCCTATGAGCTTCCACTTCAGTGCTTGCAAAGTGCCCTGCCTGGCACGGAGCATCTCTGGGCTCAAGTGCGTCTCTTGAAGGCCTACTGCTGCACAACCACAGTTCAACAGCCATGTGACAACGCCTTGATTGCACGAGGTCACATTGGCAAAACCTATGGTGAGGTCCTGGCTTTTCTTGTTGGCTGGTGTCGCTTGACTCCATGGCCGGGATGCTCTAGGTTGGCTACTTGCTTCAACGATTTGGGCAGCATGCTCCGGGCTGGGGTGCTGCGCGGCTCCAGTCGTTGGCTGGTCCAAATCACGACTACATGTATCGGGTAAGCTGGGGGGCTCCTGAAAGGAGCCAGTCACAGGCTGCACGGCGGCATCACACAATGCAAAACCTGGCTCACGCTCTGCACCAAAACTGTCATGCAAGGTTGGCCTAGCAAGCAAATGTGTGCAAAGGTTTTTGGCGGCCTCTAGTTCATGTGACTGCAGAAATGGCTTCGCCTATCGCCATTCCTAGGTTCCAAAGTGGACTGTCCTCCTGCGCGATCGACTCCAACTGCTCCATCAAGCCAATCAACTTTCCCTCAACCCCAGGGGCCAAAGTCCTACCTGGAATGATTTGACGCAAAAGTCTGTCCACTTCATTGCAAATTTCTCGGGCCCTCTTGGATTGCTCTGTGTGGCATCCCGGCTTGGCTCCGGGGTTGGCTGCTGCACTGTCTGTCCTAAGCGAATCCGTGGTGAGGGCGCTCATACTCCCCGGCGCCGTATATTCGGCGGCTACTGCGGTCAGGCCTCCCTTCTCTGTACACTCACAGGGTGCCCGCGGGTGGTTGGCAAACTCATTAACAGCAGGCTCACTCCCCGAGGCCAAAAATGCCCCTTGGTCAGAAGCCTCTTTAGTATGCGCTGGTGACCCTTGCTGGCACCCCGCTTCCTGTGCAGCCTTACAAGGCATCGCGGCACACACCAAAGTAAAAACTGTTTTGTAACTGGGACCTAATTGAAACTCCAGGTCTTTGTCTTTACCTCGTAGCTGCATGCTGACATCCACGGCGGTAAGACTCCCTAATTGATCAAACGGCGTGGAAACGTGAACCCCGTTTTGCTGAAAGCACTCGGCAACTTGCTGATCCCCTACGCTGTCAAAAGGCTCTGCACTTCCGGTCACAAACGCCTCCCCTGACACAAACGGGCATTGGACTGTTGTGTCGGCTGTTTCCAAGCAAAAGCACTGAGGGCCTGACAGTGCAAAATTCTGTTGGCAATGCGCCTGCTGCTTCGCAACCCCAGATTCAACACTGGTTTGACCCGCATCCGGATCAGCCAAACCCGAAAATTCCCCCCCATGGGCCACTGCTGGAACAACCGCAGACCCATCCTTATGTGAAAAGCCATTTTCTTCTACAGGAGGGTCTACAGTTGGGTAAGCAGAAGCAACACAACTAGTCACGCAGCACTCCAGTTCCGGCCCACTGGTGTGTTTGGCCTCCTGTCTGTTTCGATCCTGCTCGTTAGCTTTCATAGGAATAGACGGCGAAGACTCGAGACCTCTAGCGTGCAAAGAAATGCATGCGCAAGGCTGCTCCCCATGACTGTTTATGGGCTCCCTACTCTCACTCTCAGCTGCCTCCCCTGACACAGACACGTGCTCAACTTCTGCATCGGCAGCTTCCAAGCTGAAGTATTGAGGGCCCGACAGTGCAAAACTCTGCTGACAATGAGCCTGCTGCTTCGCACACCGCTTTGGCCTACGCCACTCTTCCCCAGAAAACCCCCCAAAATCAACTGACAAAGAAGAAGCAAAACCCCTTGCTTGCTCTCTGTCCTGGCTCTGATCATCAAAGTGATCATAGGACTCACGCGTGATGGCATTGAAGACCTGCAGGCGTTGCTGGAGGATCTGGTTTGTGCCCGTACAGAGGACCTCAAGTGCCTCTGTAACCTCCATCACCAGACTCCCCACAGCTTGCGCAACCTGACGGCGGGGGTTACCCCTGTTGCATATTCGCTCCAGGTTCCTCGCCTGGACCCTCTTCCAGACGACGCCTTTTGGGCTGGCCTCCGAGCAGAGGCGGTTCGCCGAGATGCTCCTTGACCTTACTGCGCTGCGTCTCATCCAACTGAAGGCCAGCCTTCTCCAGCGAAGATGAGCTCAGAGCACAAGGTCTGCGTGCGGAGCCTCCGCCCAAGGAGGAAGACGATCTGAAAGAGGCCTGCAGACAGCACCTCACGGCACTCCCGGAGAGTATCAGAAAGCTGTTGCAGGAGCCCAAGCAGGAGCTCACATACGGGCAGGCGGTGTCAGACCTGAATAAGAAGTTCAAGTCGGAAACCAGCCAGCTCAGAGACCTAGTGCAGCAGTCCATCACTTTGCAGGAACGTATTGATAAGGCCAAACAGAGCTATGAAGAACTCCTCCGTAGCATGCAGGTCCTCACAGAGAAGTTGCAAGCCAAGCAAACTGAAGTAGAGGCCCTGCAGAAGCAACTGCAGAGCAAGCTCAGTGAGTCGGATGTGCCATTGACCAAGCCAGAAGTGGCGCAGACTTTACCGTTCTGTTGATGAGCCCTTCCACAGTGTGGGGAATGCAACCTACCCAGACGCTGGTGTCCGCCAGAGCCAAAAACTTGAGCCACCAGGTTCCGGAACCCAAGTTCAACCCAGGTTTCCGAACCGGTTCGCTATCCTCCTGAAGGTCAATCCCTTCAATCGCCGGCCGCTTGCAGAGGTTCATCCAGGCCAGCGAGGTTGCCTGGTAGCCAGAGGTCCTTTCCACGAGGTCTCTAGCCTCCCGAGCCTCCTGTATCCACAGGTAGATCGAGTCACCGATGTACTCGTCATAGCCCACGCCGAGTTCCTCTGCCACCTGGTGTCCTACCTCTTCCGCGTCCTTTAAGTCAAGGGTAGCCAGCTCAAGTACACCGAAGCCCCGCGATGCCAGATGCTCATGGCATCTATCCAGCACCGCACGCCTCTGTACAAGTGCGCTATCCCTCAAGGAAGTACGATGGGACTTCCTATCCCGCCGGGGGGGGTAACCGGTCCCGCGCCCTCTCGCCCGGCGAAGCCGTGGGCAGGACGGTCGGACTTCCTGGCTCCTCGCCCCCAGGACTAGCTGGAATCACCGTGGTAGCCGGTGACGGAGGACTCGCCGTCCGCGAAGCAGAGGGGGTCCGAGGAGAGGCCATTCTCGCTTGGCTATGTAGCCAAGTTCCCCTTCTATCCCCTCTACTTCCAAATTACCCCCCTGATGGGGACTTTATCCAGAATGGCCACGGTCACAAATGCTCGTAGCCATTCCAAGTCACAGCTACTGTGTGAGAAAGTTCTGTTTGCAAGGTTCACATGTTTCCGAGCGTTCCACTTGTTATTTTGAGTTTTGAAGGAACACCCCCGGCAAAATGCAAAACAGAGCTGGCGTGGTTTCTATACTGTTGCACGCAACGGCCAGCTGTGCACGCAGATGTGGCATCTGCTCGATGAAAAAACGGCATAACTGGGCCCCGGAAATGGCTCCCAAATCTGAGCTCTAATTTGGGGCCCCGAATTGCGTGAGCTTGTATGTCCAACGAAGAAAGCCAAAATCTGGGGCCCGTTTCGGTGCCCGGGCTAGAGCTGCTTTTTGAAACCCGTTTCAGCTGGAAAACTGCACGGAAAAACAAAACTCCTTCCGCGTGCTGTTTAGATCAACATCCAAGAAATCCAACATGCTGTGAAATGTGAGATACTTTTGGAAAATTTGCCAAACTTGCCATCGGCTGCCGTTTCAAGACAAGTGCTTCTGTTCTTGTCCGTACAAGATAATTCCCGCACAGGGGAGGCCCTTCGAGGCTTCCTACGATTCTGTAGGAAAAAAGAGCTCCTGCAAGTGGAGCTTCCAGACGCAAAAAGCACCGCGCACGTACGGCAAACAATCGAAACAGTTGAAGCTAGAAGCTGAGATTAACGTCTGCCAGTACATGCCGCAAAATCCTTGCATCAGCGTGCCAGCATTTAGCCGCAGCAAACCTATCAAGAGCATGACAATAGGAGGGCGGCGAGCCTCATGTGCATCAGAGGTGAGCCTGTTTAACGTCTTTGGTCTCGACCCAAACTGCAAACAGCAGACGCGAGCTGGAGAAACCATGGGAACCCACATGTACTCCAAGGGGAACCGAGCTGACACACTGCAAGAGCCAAGGCAGCCCGCCCAGACCTTTGCGCAATATATGCTGGAAAAACCCACTTGCAATGCTGCAAAAAGCAAGGAACCCACAGGGAACCCACCGTCGATGCTGTTAAACCATGGGAACCCACTAAACTAAACATGCTGCAAAAAACCAGGAAACCCACAGGGAACCCAGCTGACATGCTGCAAAAGCTAAGGGAGCCCGCCCAAACCTTTGAGTGATATAGATTGGAAAACCATGGGAACCCACTTCAAATGCTGCAAAAAAACCAGGGAACCCAACAGAGAACCCACCGTCGATACTGCTACAAAACATGGGAACCCACTTAAAAATGCTGCAAAAACCAGGGAACCCACAGGGAACCCACCGTCCATGCTGCAAAAACCATGGGAATCTACAAGACAGCTGAATGAAGAACAGACACAGACCCACCCGAAATGCTGCAAAAAACAAGGGAACCCACATGTAGCCCACCTGAAGCGTTGCAAAAAATAAAGGAACCCACAGAGAACCCACCGTCGATACTGCCACAAACCACGGGAACCCACTTAAAAATGCTGCAAAAACTAGGGAACCCACAGGGAACCCACCGTCCATGCTGCAAAAACCATGGGAATCTACAAGAAAGCTAAGTGAAGAACATACACAGACCCTCCCGAAATGCTGCAAAAAACAAGGGAACCCATATGTAGCCCACCTGAAGTGTTGCAAAAAACAAGGGAACCCACAGGGAACCCACCCCATCTGCTGCAAAAACCAAGGGAACCCCACTTACACACCCTTTGGGTAGTATAACACTATTAGAACGGTGGAAGGTCCCAGACATGCCGGAGTCAATCAAACTCAGTTGGCAGCTGAATATTATACCACCGGCTTTGTCCTAAGGGTGAAATCATTTGCCCGCCACCGCTGGGCTCTTTCAGGTTTCCTCGTCTGTGTCCTCACACCCTGCAGCATACAATCTCGAATCAAACTGCGGCGGATCAGTAGAGTCTGCCTGTCCTAGCTTTCTGCAAGCGGACAGTTTCGGATCCAGATTTCCCATGCTGCGTGTTGCTCTACGTAAAAGACTACGGCGCTCAGCTTCGACCTTGCAACAGGCTCAACATTTCAGAAGCACTTGCGAAATTTGCGAACGAGCATGATATGACGGGCTCACATTCGTGCATTCGGAAAAACCTGCTAGATGTCAACAAAGAGTTTTGGCTGACCACATGGACTACAGCAAGACTCACTTACTCATCCTAAACCCTACACTGCAACGCGACCACGTTTTGGTGGCCTTCAGAAAAAGAAGGCTGGGATTACGTCAAAGCAAGGCTTCGTCACTGACTAGCCGAAAAGTTTACAAGCTGCTCAAGCAGCAGCTTGGGCAATGCTCATAGTTTTCATCGGCTCAGATGGCAGACCTCATTGCCAGATGGCAAACCCCACTCCGCAGCGTCATCGCTTTTAGTGCCGGGCTCAAAGCACGTAAAACATTCGTGCCCTGCCTCAGACAAGGCTTGCACACTGCTGAACCGAAAAGTTTAGTAACTGACGCAACAGTTCGGGTCACAACAAGACTCACACTCAACCGAAGACGAAGAAGTTACTAGCTGCTCACGCAACAGTTCGGGTCACAGCCAGGTCGCACCGCTGATCACTCTCAGCGCCGCGCAAAAAACCGTAAACCGTAAACATTCATTCCTTTGGAAAAGAAAGAGCGAAGCTTGGTCACTGCTCACCCGACAGCGAAGAAGAATTTACGCGCTGCAGGCAACCGTTCGTCACAGCAAAGCTCACTCACTCACACTCACTGACTCACGTGCTAAAAGCTGGCAGAGCTTAGTCACTGCTCAACAGATACTCGCGCTGGGGCAACAGTTCAGCACCAGAGAGGCGACAGCGAAGCTCACTGACCGCTGATCACTCTCAGTGCCGGGTTCAATGCGCGTTAAAACATTACTGCCATCGTGTGAGAAACGACAAGGCTTACTTACTGCGATTCAGAAAGCTGCCGTGCTACTGTCTTCTACATTCTACGGGGCAGCAGACAAAACCATGCCTTGCGAAGTCTTCTTTGCTCTGCTTTCAGGGTCTTAAAGTCTTAGCGACTCTGCACGCTTCTACCTAATCAAGACATCTTGTAGACACGCAGACAATACCACACCTTTGCATCCTGAAGCTCCTATCGCAAGCGGGCCAGACGGCGGACAAAGTTTCCCAGCAACAGGCCAGACGAGGAAGACATTCATTTCTACACTGCGGCAACTCCACTCTTTGAGGGGGAGGAACAGGAGGTGCTTCCGTGTCGGACATCGTTTGCAACACTTGAGCCAAAAGAGCGCTCGAATTACGGAGCCAATTCCGGAAGCTGTTCTCTGGGATGCTTGGAAGGGCCTTCTCTGTATCCTGTCTTTGCATGTCAGACACAGCTATCCTGCGAGCGACGATAGCGAGCGAAACTTCGTTTCTAGCAAAGCTACCTTCAATAGCTTTGGGAATAAATGGCTTAGCTGGCACACATAGTAACTCGTTCTTCCTCGTCACGAGGTACATTCAGACCCAGGGCGTCTTGCGATTCTGTGACGTAGGTCAGATTGCATGGCAAAGCCCATGTCAGCATTCCTCCTTCGATGGGCGGTGATGTTGGAGATCGGGCGAGACGAGCACAACGAAGCTACTCGGCAGTGGGCAAACCCAGGCTACGTTTCCATTGGAGGCGGAAGACCAATCCGGTGTGGAATTCTTGACCTGATCCCGACCAAAGGAGCACGAGCAGATGGGATGTCGTGGA